ACAATCCAAACATTCATGTCAACAGCATTTTATGCATTCAACTAGCTACAAGTTAATCGCCCAACTTTATTTCAAACATACAGTAGAGAAGTTTGTAGTAGACATGTCACTATGTCCATTTCTTTATTGGTAGACTCTACACGTTATATACTACTCACTACATCTGATAGTTAATTCAGTAGGCTGAAAGTGAAAATCACACAGAAATTTCTACATGATCATTTAAACTGTTTCAAAACAATCATTGATCGAATGTTACACACAGGATCTATTACGTTCTCTTCCCTTCTCTTTTCATATAGTATATAATTCGGTCGACAAAACACAATCTAGTTCACTTTGTTTTGCACTGACGCGCTCATTCATTCAGTAGACTGTGAGAAGATTCATGCGCATTGTGGCATTCGGATACACGATAGTCTAACACTGAATTCATTTAGATTTATTATCTTGATGAAACACACAAAGTAGACAGTGATTAAAATAGCAACAATGGTGTGGAGATTAGTTAATGTTATACAATATGGTATAGAATGAGAGAGAGAGAGAGAGAGAGAGAGAGAGAGAGATAGTATGTGTGAGTTTGTGTGTGTGTAAGATGAAGTGGACCTGTGGATATAATAAATATTGATAGAACAGTATTGAATTGACTTCGGTAAACTGGGAGATGTGAATGACTAAATATATATTCTGTTATGGATTAAAGGGAGGACTGTGAGACCTCCCCACTGACAAAAACTACACGCCCGAGCGCACCCGATTAGGGTTCGTCGCGAGTTTCAACCCACCGAGGTGCAATGGTGAGCCTCCACCCGGGGTCAGAGCATTCCTGATCACCCTGAACCCGGCGCCAGGTAAGTTTAAGCACTAGTCAATAGCCTGTCGCCCGATCATTCTCAACAACATTGCAATAAAATCACTCTCTGCAAATTAACACTGCATTCACAATCCAAACATTCATGTCAACAGCATTTTATGCATTCAACTAGCTACAAGTTAATCGCCCAACTTTATTTCAAACATACAGTAGAGAAGTTTGTAGTAGACATGTCACTATGTCCATTTCTTTATTGGTAGACTCTACACGTTATATACTACTCACTACATCTGATAGTTAATTCAGTAGGCTGAAAGTGAAAATCACACAGAAATTTCTACATGATCATTTAAACTGTTTCAAAACAATCATTGATCGAATGTTACACACAGGATCTATTACGTTCTCTTCCCTTCTCTTTTCATATAGTATATAATTCGGTCGACAAAACACAATCTAGTTCACTTTGTTTTGCACTGACGCGCTCATTCATTCAGTAGACTGTGAGAAGATTCATGCGCATTGTGGCATTCGGATACACGATAGTCTAACACTGAATTCATTTAGATTTATTATCTTGATGAAACACACAAAGTAGACAGTGATTAAAATAGCAACAATGGTGTGGAGATTAGTTAATGTTATACAATATGGTATAGAATGAGAGAGAGAGAGAGAGAGATAGTATGTGTGAGTTTGTGTGTGTGTAAGATGAAGTGGACCTGTGGATATAATAAATATTGATAGAACAGTATTGAATTGACTTCGGTAAACTGGGAGATGTGAATGACTAAATATATATTCTGTTATGGATTAAAGGGAGGACTGTGAGACCTCCCCACTGACAAAAACTACACGCCCGAGCGCACCCGATTAGGGTTCGTCGCGAGTTTCAACCCACCGAGGTGCAATGGTGAGCCTCCACCCGGGGTCAGAGCATTCCTGATCACCCTGAACCCGGCGCCAGGTAAGTTTAAGCACTAGTCAATAGCCTGTCGCCCGATCATTCTCAACAACATTGCAATAAAATCACTCTCTGCAAATTAACACTGCATCCACAATCCAAACATTCATGTCAACAGCATTTTATGCATTCAACTAGCTACAAGTTAATTGCTCAACTTTATTTCAAACATACAGTAGAGAAGTTTGTAGTAGACATGTCACTATGTCCATTTCTTTATTGGTAGACTCTACACGTTATATACTACTCACTACATCTGATAGTTAATTCAGTAGGCTGAAAGTGAAAATCACACAGAAATTTCTACATGATCATTTAAACTGTTTCAAAACAATCATTGATCGAATGTTACACACAGGATCTATTACGTTCTCTTCCCTTCTCTTTTCATATAATATATAATTCGGTCGACAAAACACAATCTAGTTCACTTTGTTTTGCACTGACGCGCTCATTCATTCAGTAGACTGTGAGAAGATTCATGCGCATTGTGGCATTCGGATACACGATAGTCTAACACTGAATTCATTTAGATTTATTATCTTGATGAAACACACAAAGTAGACAGTGATTAAAATAGCAACAATGGTGTGGAGATTAGTTAATGTTATACAATATGGTATAGAATGAGAGAGAGAGAGAGAGATAGTATGTGTGAGTTTGTGTGTGTGTAAGATGAAGTGGACCTGTGGATATAATATATATTGGTGTCTAATACTACTTATGTCGGTCGATATTAAGTAGCATACACCTCACTAGTACTACTTTTAGAATTTAATTGTGGATTCACTACAACACTATAATTCCTGTCCTTTTTTTGATTGATTCCAGTTAACCTAAAATATATATCTATCCCTGCAGAGATAAATAAACTGTAATAACTTAGGTAATTATTCTAAAGATTTGGAATAAATTCAGTAGAAAACCTCAATCATAACAGTAATCTAAACAACAATTTTTAATCAAAGATGGATAGTGGCTAGCAGTGGAATACAGAAAGCGCGTTTCTTCTTATTCGGGTCTCGTTAGCTAGATGTATCTGTATCCATCTTTGCTTAAAAAGCTTGTGACTTAAGGCCATATAGAGGCAATCCTCACAGGATGCACATATGCCAACATAAAACTGATCAATTGTAGTCTTAAATAACAATGGGAAGATACAAGTAAAACAACATCAAGTGAATTTAACAATTTTTAAGTTATTAGCCTAATATACCAATGATTAAATTATTAAACTTAATTAATAATTAGATTCTGAAATTCTAGTATTTCAGTTAAGATCTTTTCAACTGATCATCTTATTACCTATCCAATCAGATACATTGTTATCAATCCAAACAAAGGTTAATTAGAAACAGTAAAGCAAAAACAAAGACTGATTATGAATAAGAATAATTGAGATTACATTGGTTGATGCTGTGATATATGTGAAAAACAATGTTTTCTACTTAAAGTTAGATAATTTATTAATCTAAGCAGTTATGTTAATTTGTTCTAAGCCTACTCAATATTCACCAATATGATGATTATTTAAGCAATGAATACATTGAAAATTCAGTAAATTCGCTCATTGAGTTTATCATTTTCGGATTATTTTAACTGTTTACTTTTATGGTAATGTATTGATTTTTATAAAGAATCTCATTATTTTATTGTATTTGTCGATTATTGTTTTTTATTATATATTTCCCTATAGTAAGTAAATGATTACATAAATGGTAAAATACAATAAATTGATTGTTTCCCATCTTTAAAAAGGAATAGTTATCCTTAAAAAAAATTAAGACTTGCCATGGAAACCAACTATATTCAAAACAATTTTAATATAGTGTGTATTAAATATTGTTTATAATTCATTTTTGTTAGAACTGTAATGCAGAACATGAATTTCATTCTTTTAAAATTTGTTAGTTGAATTCACTTACAGTCAAGTAAATTTTTATCCCCAATAAAATAACACATCACTTGTCATAGAAGTTATAACAGACCTGGTGGGCTGTTGTCTAACGAAATCTTGGGATAGATTCAGAAAGATCGATTGAACATTGTCAATTTACATCACTTGTAGTATATGTGAATTGTCTGTCTGTCAACCAAAAGATGAGTCTACCGCACAGCAGTTAACCATGTTTTACTTTATGTGTATAAAACACGGTCATTAGGGAGTGAGAATATTCATAAGTTACTGGTATTTAATGATAACTGTTTCTAAATCATTGATCACGTATTTCGGGACCACTGAGTAAGCTATGTTGATATTAGTTATGTGAAACTAAGTAACAATAGCAAATTGGTTTATGAGGTAGTGAATTCTCACAAATTGGTATGGTTGGGACATGTATTATATAAGCCTAATCACTGTCTTTTTCGACCGGCAAAATTTGTAACAGGACAAGTCGGTTGTAAGAAAGATAGGGGCTGGAAATCAAGATATAGTTATTCACAATGGTTCAGGTACATTCACTCCTTGTCCTCCATTAGACCTTAATTTCCGAAATCCTTCTATGCTTGCTTTCTTTTTCCTATATCTAATCTCTACTACTACCACCACTACTTCTAGTGATGCTATCATTACTTTTATTAAACTGAAATTCGTCATAACAATTTTACATCAGTTTACTGATTTAGTGTAGGAACTTTAACTGATGTAAATATGTTCCAAGTTCTGCTTTTTAAATATAATTGACAACCAAGCTATGACCAAGAGAATTATTGGGGCAATTATAAAATAAAGTCATTAATAGATTTTAAAATGACTAATTAAGTACTGCATCTGAGAATAATAGGATAGTACAAATTATTATTATTATATTGAGCTTTAATGGTAATAATAATAATAATACATTATTTATTTCTTTTCTCTAAACAATCAGAAGTACATTTTCTACAAAGTCACCATACATATTATATATGGAAATATGATTAGAAAGATTTGTATAGTTTCAAACGACCTTCAAACTTTTTATTTTTCAATAAACGACTATGATTATGAATCAATTACATAATTTTACTCAATTCAATTAATATAAACCAATTGTATTTGTCCGTTACTTTTTCTTTTCTTTTTTGTTTGTTTGTTTTTAGATATTTAAAAATCAACAGGATATAAATTTAACTTTTATTAGAAATATCTTCATTAAATTAATTGATACAAAGGATATTTATTTATTTATTTATTTATTTAGTTAGTTAGTTACTAAATCAACTTATACAATCAATATGCCGAGTGATTTAGATATAGAGTTTAATGAAGAATGCATTATTGAACATAATCGGTTAGTTGATTATTCAAAATGTCATTATAAAATTATAATATAATTCATGTTGTACATAGTTTGAACTGATTTACAATTATACTGATAAACTACGATTACTGTTGGTATCATTATGAAGGTTTGACTTGATAATTTTGAATAAATTAAGTATTTGTTAGATTGTTAGATGCACATTACTGAGGAGTCTCACAATAGGACGAAACAATCGTCCAGTGCTTCCACGTTTTCCATGTTGGTCTAGCTTCAATTGACTCATGAATTCAACCATTAAAATTAATACAATCTCCATAAAACCCATTCTGAGATTGTTATAAATAAGTTAATATATTTGTAGTTATCCCATTGAGTAGAAAAATTAATATTTTTGAGTTGTTCTTTTGTACTATTTAAACTTGGATTAATTTGGCTTTGGTCAATAGCCTACACTGAGTCACAAAACATCAGAAAATTTGATTTTTCTACTCATTGGAATATTACAAATATATTAATTTATTTATATGATTATTGTTGTTGGAAAAACGCCAAGTTAAATATAAATGATAAACAATATAGTATAAGTGAATTATGATAATATATTACTACAATTTAAGTAAAATTAAGAAATGCTGATGCTTTCATTATCGAAAAGAGTAAAATAATAAATATAATTTAAGATTGTCAAGGAGATCGACTTTGATAAAAGATGTTAGAAGTTATGAATCGCTAGAAACTTCTGAGGATAAATATGAAAAAATTACTCATGTAGTTTAAAATCTCTTCATTGAAATGTAATTTATTCTATCAAAGTTAATATCCAAAGTCATTTGATTCACAATATGAGCACATTAGAGTTTACGTAACAATGTCATAGGCATAAATAATAGATTTTTTATTGTCATTTTTTATACTAGTCTGCTGTAATCTGAATAGTTTAATCTTATAGAGTTCCTTAAGACTACAAACACAACATTCAGATGAGTGTGATTTGTTTTATTCAGGATACAGAAGATCTGGTTGATATTTGAAAAATTGAAAGAAAAAGTAACTTAAAAACCAGTCTAGCTAATAAATATGTCAAGACATCCCATACTTATGTCACTGTACTGACTTTTTTCTAAACATTAAAAATAAGAGTTAAAGAAGATTAGAATGCGTATGGATTTCAGTTTCATAGTAAACGAGTTAAAACAATGGATCAGTAACTCAGGTTCAACTGGTTTTGATTCTAAATGTGCAAGGATATTTTCTCTCTCTCTCTCTCTCTCTCTCTCTATATATATATATATATATGAAATCCTTCATTTAAATGAATAATTGAAGAATTCTTAGATGTAATAAACATTATTGAAAGTTTTGATCAAGAATTTATTAAGTTTCAGCATTAAATGCTTATGATAATGACATTTTAGAGAACTTTTAAATTATGTAAATTTAGAACAGCATATATAAGCGAACAATATTGTTTTCGATTAGATCCTTTTAAATTATCAAACTTGAATCCTGAAAAAAGCAGTAGGGCAATTGTAAAATGGCTGAAGCATTAATTTAATGTTAGTTTAGATATGAAAACCATGGGTAAAATGTATGATCTTTTAGTTATGCAATCAATATCATATAAGATACTCACAATTAGTAATGATTCAATCAGTGAGACGAGGGATGAGTATAAATATATGGGCTTCTAGGATATACAAAAAATGTTGGCTAGCTAAAAGTGTTATAGACATATTTCGGTATGAGTGAAAATTTTAGTGATGAGTAGTATTATGTAATTTCTTCTGATGGTTGATGGGATTATAAAAACCTTCACATCTTAAGGAAAGCATCGAATACAATGGACAGGTTCAATGAAACTAGACGATGTGGACTTTGCAGATGACGTACCTCTTCTATTCCATACACATCAATAAATGCAGATCAAGACAAACAGTGTAGCAGTAGTCCCTAAATCAGTAGACCTCAACATACACAAAGTAAAAAGCAAGATCCTCAAATACAACACATAGAACACCAACCCAATCACATTTGGTGAAGAAACTCTGGAACAGGTGGAAAGTTTCACGTATCTAAGTAGCATCCTTGATGAACGTGGAGGATCTGACGCAGAAGTAAATGCGAGGACTGGCAAAGCAACGATAGCATTCCTACAGTTGAAGAACATATGAAATTCAGAACAACTATCAACCAAAATCAAATTGATAAACTTTAATACGAACTCCAAGACAGTTCTACTGTAAAGAGCTGAAACTTCGACAATTACCATAACCATCACCAAAAGAGTATAAGTAATCCTAAACAATTGTGTACGTAAATTACTGAATTTCTGTTCGATAGCATCAGCAACAGCATGCTATAAGGGAGAACAAACCACATTCGAGCTGAGAAGGAAATTAGGAAAAGACGCTGAAGTTGGATAGGATATACATTGATGAAAACACCAAACTGCATCACAAGGCAAGCGCTAACTTGGGACGAAAAAGGGGAAGACTAAATAGCACACTGCTTCCAGAATCGAAAGCAGACATGAAAAGGATGAATAGCAAGTGGAAAGAAGTGGAAAGGATCACCGAGAACAGAGTTAAATGGGGAATGCTGGTGAGCGGCCTAGAATTCTCCATGAGAGGTAGCAGGCGTAAGTAAGTAAGTATTATTTAATATAAATTAAGTTATTTGTTTATATCTATTTTAAATTAATTGATATTGTCTTTAGTAATACTAACAAACATGGTGATCTAGCTTAAATCGACTCATGAATACAACAATTAAATTACTACAATCTCTATAAAACTCCTCTCCAATAAAATTCAATATTTGTCTTTTTTTCCTAATTATCAATAATTTTATTACTTAAAATCACCATATTATTTTTTGTTTTATAATTCAGTCTAAGAGCTTTACATGGATGTCCAGAATTAATCCTTGATTATGAATTAGCTAAGGATGCACAAAAATATGCAGAACATTTAGCAAGTGTTAATGAACTTGAACATTGTACAGATACTGATTCAGGGGAGAATTTAGCTTTTTTTACAACTAATACAATTGCTCAGAAAAAAGATTTTACAGGTAAATTATTTGATAATTCTTAATAATTCATATATTTATTGAATATATACTTAAGTTAAAAAATTGCATATTATATATGAATGGTATAGTATCTTATATATTCATAATCAGTTTATATGAAGCGATTTATGTATAAAGTTAAGAATTCTGAGCACAAAATAAGTGATATTGCAATGAATTTCGATTTTATATTTATCTACTATAAAAAGTGACTATCACTATTCATCATCATGGGTGAACGTTTTTCATCAATTCACTCTTTTTAAATTTCTTTTCATTAATGTATGAATTCCATCGAGATCATCTGTTGTTTGTCCAAAGAACAGATGAGATGATAAATATATATATATATATATATATATATAATGAGTCCTATCAAAAACCATGTCAGTTAATCTGAAAAACACAATAACTATGACTATTTACAAGATGTTCATAAGTGATGGTAATAAACAATTTAGGTTACTTAAATGATTAATGGTTTTTCTAACACCCTGCCAAACTAAACCGATCACGACTAAAAAAGCTCTAGTTCAACTAATCTAAATTAATCATAAGTTAATAGTAGAAGCGATGATATCAATATGATAATCCAATGAGTAGAGAATAAAATTTCCGACGTTTTGTAATTCAATTTAGGACATTACAGAGCATAAATAAATCTTTGTTTTTATGGATAACAATCTACATAATGCTCAATGTATTTGAAATTATGCAGTCGAACTTTAGTAATTATACCCATGATTAGAATTTATCTGCTTAGTTGATCTAATATAATCAACCAGATCACCTGCATCATAGTAATTTGATTATAGTTAGTATTCACATTTAGTCTGTTCACATTAACTAAAATTTCGAACAAGGTTTTCAGATATTAAACCATTAACTTTGATCTGTGTCTGTTTCTACGTTAGATTTTTCAACATACTGGTATAGAATATCCTCTAAATTTATAAAAACCCTGTGATCGGCATTTCAATTATTTTCTGTATAATTGTTAACACATTATTTAAAGAGAATAAATCAGAACATTTTGTATAGGATATTAAAAGTTTTAATACTAAACTTAATGTTATATTATTCTTAACAATTCCCTTCTTTTTAACTTGAAAAAAATTTAAGAATTTGACAGAATACAAATTTAAACTATTAGTTGATGAAAAGCAATTAGTGGTAATCCTTAGAAGTAGATTTCATGCTAGTTATAATTTATCAGTAAGACGTATTCATCATATTGAGAGAACTGAAGAATTTTAAATGCATACTATACCTGGTAATGCAACCGATGAGTTAAATGGTCAGCGATTGGACAACGACAAGTATTAAATCTAGGTTCAGGACTTTCTACAAATTGCTTTTATCCGCCTAACATCATGGAAAGTGTAACATTGTCAAGTCGCTTAGACTAAGGGAAGTAGTTTAATGAAAAAGACTTACTATATCCGCATTTGAGTTCAGAAGTGTAAATGCGACAATCGTGATTCTTGAGCCTAAATCACTATATGATTTATTTCAATGGTTACTTAATTGCCCATTTAAGCTTTATACTCCTCTTGAGGCATAGGCAACCGATCAAGGATCTACAGGCATTACTTTTTTAGCTCTCTTCCCAGTTTTTTGTCAAGTGGAACCCATGATCAGAATGTCTGCCTTCAATTCACGGCTCAATATGTTCTTCGGTCTGTTTCTTTTTCTTTGCCCCAAAGTATTCCAGTTCAGTACTGGTTTTTTGATGCAGTATGATGGTTTCTGTTGAATCTTTCCTATTCAACTCCAGAGTATTTTTCTAATTCCTCTCCCCCTAAATGGTAGCTAGTTCGTTGACTGAGAAAGTAAAGTATTGCTAATAGTCTCTGACTAATGGATTTAAAGTATCTTGCACAGGCAGTTGTTTATGAAACTGAAGATCTTAATCCGGCCAACAACCACGAGAAAGAGAAGTGGCGTGAGAAGACACCTTTTTTTCAACACCAGTCTTCACTTGGAATGAATCTGTGAGCTGCATTAAAAGTTCGTAATACTGTTCGTCGAACTATACAATATTTTGTAAGCTTCAGTTTTACCTTAACTATCACCATGTGTTGATCTACAGCTACACTAGCTCCTCTATTGTCTTTGCATCTTCTGTAGACACGAATTTTTTGTTGATGCAAACGCGATCGATCTAATTCGCTGTAGTGAAATCCACTGAAACCTATGTAGCTTTGTGTCTGCGTCTGTGGGGTAAAGTGGTGGTACTTATCAAAACTCTGTTTCGGGAGTTCTTTAAAGCATAGGAATGTAACAAAATTGTCTGATATCAGATGAATAAAAAAAACATACATATGTTCGAAAGTTTCGAAATCGATAAACTTTACTTAAATTTATTATCTTCAATGTTTGATACCACCACCAGACAATATCAAAATAACTGAGTTGTACTCTTTCAGTGCCGTCAAAAAAATAGAAATATTAGTTTTTCTGATGAAGTTACGCGGGAAGCCATCTTTGATGAGTATTTGCCGAAATTGAAGCAGTTAATCGTTTTTTGTGTTATTACACTATAGTAGCCTAGTCCTCAAGGATAAATAGTTAGTCAATCTTTTTCTTCTACAGCTTAAGTAAATGATTTCTTAGAAAAGAAGATTTTTGTCGCCGTATTCTAGTTATATTTTTTCAATGATCAGCCAGTCAGCAATAACGTAGAACTTCGTACGTACTTTCATCATTTCGAGTTGCCATACCACATTAGCACAGAAATGTAGTTGTGGTAGAGCTAGTAAAAGTATAAGCAGTAATTGGAAAGATTAGGATTTGAAGATCTTATTCAAGGAGTATAATCCAGTGAAATAAATTTGGAAATAGAAAAAAAGGACATGAAGAATTCAAAAGATTACATTTCAGGAGAACACAAAGAGTAGATTTACCAGCGTCATTGCAAACGATTTCGAGCCTTGTCATTCAAGATCTCTAACCATCAGTTGCTATCAAATCCCAGAACCCAACCAGGTACTCTACACCTGCCAATATTGTCTCAGTCCACTTATCAGAGACTTCATGGATTTGTGCCATTTTTTGATCTGGCCGCTCCTAGCTTTCATCCAACCTACTCCTATACCATAAAACATCGCTCGTCGATGCAGTCGGTGGTTGGGTATATGTAACACATGCCTCAGCTATCTCAACTGATGAAGTTTCATTACTTCATGAATTTATTTGCCATCTCTACCTAGTACCCGTTTCCTAACAACTACATTGCCTACTCGGTGGTGCCAGGATATACGAGCAATGCTTCGAAGACACCTATGATCGAATACTAGTAACTCTTACTGGCCATGCTTCACAGCCACAAAGTAGAACGGAACGAACTTCTGCGCAGTAAACACATCCTTTTGTTGATAGACGGATATGTCACCTACGCCATAAATGACGCAAGTTAGCAAAAGCTAGTCGATCCTTCTGTATCCGTGCTGAGATTTCGTCACACACCAGACCACAAGGGCTGATGAGACTTTCAAGATAAGTGAAGTGGTGAGAGAATCGCATCTCGAACATGTTTGCATTGTTGCTTACGGTGGTCTGAAGACTCTGTATTTTGTCAGCGTCTTCACCAAATAGAACTATGTCATCGGCATACTCTAAGTCAACAAGTGAATCTCCCGGTAAAAGTTCAACCTCTGGAAATTTAGATGGGGAAAGTTTTATCTTTAAAAGCATGTCAACAACAAAGTTAAAGAAGAATAGAGAGAGAGGAGAACCCTGACGAACAACAACTTAGGTAATCAATTCTGATGACATTTTGCCATAAATTCTCACTCGACCAGTTGTGTTCAAGTGAAGAAGCCTGTATAAGGTTAGTGTACTTCTTTAGTACTCCTTTCAGTGACAAACCCAATGATACATTGACTTAAGTTATTTAAAGTAAAATAATTTGTCACTAATCAGTATGAAATTTCTGCAATATGGAATATTAACTCAAATAATCCAAAACAATATAATACAAACCAACGACATATTATCTTTGGAATATTCACGTAAAAAGTAAGTTTTACTGTGAATTTTGTCAAAAATATCTATGTAAATGTAAAGTGAGTTAAAAACTGAACAGAAAGGAGTCCTATATTAGGACGAAACGGCCATCCAGTGCTTTCAGGTTTTCCATGATGGTCTAGCTTTAAATGACTCATTATTTCAACTAGTGAAATTTTTAAAATCTCCACAAAACCCCTTCTGAGAGAGGAAATGGTCAAAATATACGTAAATATAATTATTAAAAAAACACAAATGTAATTAAATAATAAAAATTAATTGATAGAGAAAACCAATATACTACATATTAATTAGTTGAATAGATTTGTTTTTAATGTAAAATTCATAAATAAAATGTATGAAAAAGAAAATCAATCATATTGATTTCAATCGATTTTCATTCAATTGACCGAAAACATATTTTTTGTTTGTTTTTTTTTTAATTTATTCGCAATGAATTCTGTTCATTGGTTTTCACATTATTTCAATTAATCATTATGTAGTTAGTTATTTGATTTTCTATGAATTGATTAATTCATCATGAATTTTTGTGTATGGTAATAATAACCCGGTGATTAAATTGAGTAATCACTAATCATTGAATCAATATGTATAATTGAGGGGTTTTGTGAAGATTGTAGTAATTTATAATAATTGAATTCATGAATCAATTGAAGCTAGAATATCATTGAAAACCTGGAACCACTAGATGGCTGTTTCATCCTAGTATGGGATGTATAATTGAATAAATTTGAATGTCAATTCATTATTTTCTGGGTTCTCGATCAACAAATCTTCCAAACAAAAATTGAACTTCCTTCTTCATTTAATGGAGATGGAAGAAGAGAAGAGAAGTAGTCTTATTCATCATACTGAAGTTGTGAAATAGTAGCTTAGTGCATAAACGCATGAAGATTGCCAAGTCTTTGTGACCAATAAGTCAATTATATTTCAATCGAAATAATCTTAATTCAATCAAAGTTTCCAATTACGGAGTTAAATTAGCTTGATAAAAAAAATGAGGACTGAGGCCGAGATAATGTAATCTAATGTGACTAATGACAAAGTAATTCAAAGAAAAGTAATAATAACTTCGGTTGTGCGGAATATCTAGGAATAACAAATTTAAGTCACAATTCAGATACATAATAGCCAATAAAACTCACAACGTGTTAACCCATTGAGAGTCAATAATGGCATTATAGGTCAACAAGACTGAACTGAGGTAAGAGAAACTTTGTATTAATTTGGTATATATATCATTCTTAAAGTAGGTCATGAAAGTATCCTCAATTGTTAGGTTTCCTCCCTATATATGTAGTATACTCACGCAGAATATTCTCAAGAACTCGCCATTAATCTTAACTGAAATCAGTCACTCGTTAATTTGTACTTCATATTCCCAATCCAACCATGTATTGGCCGTTTGAGTCCCAGTGCTTCGATATTAATTTTAAGGAGAAATTTTAGATGCAGATAAATTTATTCAGTGAATTTCAGTATGATTATAATTTTAAATTTACTTTAATCTGATATGAAAATTTGCTTCTTGATTTGAATTTGAAAAAAATAACTAGGCGTAGATGCTACGAAAACATGGTATCAAGAAATAGAGGATTACGATTTCAAAAAGGAAAATCAATTCCCTTGTGGTAAGCTTTCCTTGACTTACCTTGTCGATAATAAATAATTATATATATAATCACTGATATGGAAAATCGTCGTAGATTAGGCTGATCAAATCTAGTACTACTGATATGATAGTAATTATCACAGTAATAGATTCAGTACGATATTTTGATTCAACATTTTAACAGAGATAATTAACAGGCATATACATAATGCCGGGTCGGAAGGTACTTAGTAATATGAAATATGCTACTCGAAATCTCCCTAGACGGTTTTAGTTGCCTTCGTATCAAAAAGTTGTATTTAGTTACAAATCAAAATGATCAGTCAGTATGCCTTCTGTTTTTATTTTAGGGGTTAAATCCATGTTAATCATACTGCTGCTACAGGAAAATATTTTCCAAGTCAATCAGTTTATATTAGTATTTTCAATGCGAAGGGAAAGATAACCTCAGATAAATCGGGGTACTCAGTTGGTACTGCATAACCGATACGTTAATTGGGGTAGTAATCGAGTGTTCCATAGCGGACTCATTAGTTGCAGTGAGCCTTACTTGTACTAGCTTAGCTGGTTATTAAAAAAAATACGATTAAGTAGAACGAAGATGGCATATACATTTGAGTACCAGGCTTAGAAACAGAGATAAAATGAAAATACCATTCAGCTGTCTAAAAGGAAGTGAGACTTTCAGATCAAATAAGGAATGCTATGAAATCGGGTAAAAAGAATGGGCTCTAACAGGTAACACATTGGTCGCAATTTGACTGCTCAAGTATAGGGAGAGAATAAGGCTCATTTTAGATAATGATAATTAGTCATTTAATTTCTATTTGAACAGAAGAGTTTTGATGATTTATGGAAATTATTGGCACGTCATAGAATACATGTGTACTACTTTTCCGTGCAACGACAGTTGTATCTGGAGTATACTGCTTATCGAATTCATCATTTACATTTGGATTAATTGCGAAAGTACGGGTAGTAACCAAAAACATTAGTTAAATTAGAAATAGAGTTAACTTTAGTTTTTAGCAAGCTTCCAACTAGAAAAAATGATTTTCGAATTAGTGAAGTTTGAATTTCGAGTGTTTTTCACACTCTTTACAATTACTCTTGAAGTGCTTCACTTTAATGTTTCTGTTTAAAAAGGACATTTTACACAGATAGTATGGAAGTCGACTACAACAGCTGGATTTGGTAGAGCTTGGTCAAAAGATCGTCATAGTATTTATGTCGTTGGCAGATATGATCCACCTGGAAATTTTTCGGACGAATTTCTTGAAAATGTCCCACCTTTAATTAGTAAGTAGAAACTATCTTGATTTAAACAAAATAACTGACGTATACGAATAAAAAACGGTATGATCATCGGTCAGCAACTAACCAGCTGTGATTCACGATAAAGTCGTTTGGTTTGTATATCTCTGTATTTTTTTAATGTCAATAATAAGGATAGTTCAGATAATTTAAATATATCCTAAACTTGGATTACTATGTACATTAATTTATTCTTTTATAAATATTTAGTGAATCTGAGATTTGATTAACAGTTTGGATCCACTAGCTCAGTTAGTAGATGTTTTAGTCAATAATGTGAAGGTAGCTAGTTTGAATTTTCCCACAACTCACACTTTTAAATGCCAATTATTACGCCTTATAGGCTAAAAAAGGAAAGTCAGTTTTCTTCGTTTGAGTACTTGGTTTAATTGTAAATCCGTAAACAAGTGTATAAAACTGAAATTGTGTGCTTGTCGGCTTAGTGATAAGGACATTAGACTTTCACCTGTAATTTTGCGAGCTCAGTAGTATAACAAACGCCATGAACCTTTAAGTTTGTTGCTAAAGCGTGTCACTATTACTATACAACACAGCGTTGTTACGTGAGCTTGGTAAAGGCTAACTAACACAAATATAATCGAAGATGTACCAAGTTTGGATTTTGTTGGATAATTATAAACAAAAAGAAAGCCATAATCATCCAGACACAAAGTAACGAATCCAATTGCCAGATGGGTGTTAGCAAAGAATACACGCTGATTTCGCTTGTCTAATAAAAGGCAGAAACTATTTAGTTGTTGTGGACGCTTTCACGAAATGACTGGAAATATACGATATGCCGAACAGGACGTCAGAGTATACAAGGAGAAAATTGTTAAGAATGTTCCCTTGTTTTGGGGTTCCAGAGATCTTAGTAACTCACAATGGTACTGCGTTCATGTCATTCGCTTTCAAACGGTTCTGCAGAGGAAATGGCACTACGCATCGACGATCTCCTTTATACCATCCCCAGTTGAATGACCAAGCAGAAAAATTCGTGCATACGACAAAAAGGCTTCTAGTTAAAGAGAAAGGGTAGGGTATTCCAGCACAAGTGGTCAGTTACTTCTTAATGGCCTACAGAGTTACACCCGATCCGGCAGTGCCAGAAGGGAAGTTCGGACAGTCTTTAATAGAATACTGCTATCCAGGAAGACAAATAAACCCACGAATGAGTATCGGACGGTGGGCGTAAGGATACTTATCACTCGTACCAAAGTAATAGGAAGTGAGAATCAGATGTTATAGAACGTCGGGTTGGAGATATACTGTACTTACTTCGGACTTCTATAAGACATGTCAACCAATTCAAAGGAAATAACGATTACACAAAGTCGATTCCCGTCTTAAATGCTTGTGGATTCATCTCAAAAAAAGCCGAAAGGCCAAGACAGTACAAATTTCAATAGTGACGGACCGCAAGAGGAATGTGGTAACAAAATTTCAACTGAACCGGAGCAGAAAGTCTTACACAAAGGTGTGGGGACGGCCTTCAGAGAACTTCAGGAAGCTCTGAAAGAGCCGAAGACATTCCACCCTACAATCTTTTGGAATACTCCAGAATCTCGAAGTGTACATTTCCGACTGGATAAATGCTAAAAATCACTGGATGCGGGTTGGATGACCATAATGTTGATTTCGTTTATACTAAAAACTGCAAACACCTCAGTGTTTTGTACCATATTTGACATTGTTTGGAATAAGATTCCTTCCCAATCGTCTTGTCTTCTAACTGGCGTTCGACTGTTCAAATTGTAAAAATTCTAGATATAACACTATTCTTACGATGGACGAAATTTTTTTATTTAAAGAGATTGATAAATATAAGTTATACTTGTTTCCTATGCTACTGTATGGTTGTTTGCAAGTTTTCATACGAGATAAACTGTGAATTATTGTTTCAGGTCTTCTAAATACTGAATAGGATTGTGAAATATTTGAATATTTAGTTCAAATACAAAATTTATAACCATCGACCTTAACCTAAAAAGAAGAAAAAAAGCAACGACAATGTCCAACAAACGTTAAATAAAAACAAACTACAACATGACTTTATTCAGACAAGAAAAGAGATGAATCACTTTATCACTTTAACATGGTGATGATATGATTGATATAAACAAAATTGTTGTTGAAATCAGTATTTATTTATGAGAAATTATCCGAAAATAATATCAATAAAAAGCAAAATAAATACAACAGTGAATTCTGAATACACCTCTGATAGTTTCATTATTGTGTTAGGTTTCATGAAACTATGGCTGATTTAATGATGTTCCTTCATTGGATTCTATGAAGAGTAAGAGAAAAAGAGGCATTAGCAGAATTTAAAAGTGCACAACCTGAATGCAAGGGTTATATAAATAAATAAGAGGAATTGTGTTTACAACTGGTTATCATCATTTAATACCATTAAATTGTCAAAAATATCATTATTACATTTAAGACAAGAAATCATTTTACACAAACTGTAAGATACACTAGAAGCTATACATATGATTTAACTTATTCAAAACGATTTAAGATTCATTACGTTAAAAAACTGATTGAAGAGATAGTCAATCTTTATCGACTTAGATGGTTAAGATATGTATGATGTATGCCCAACCATTGACTACCTTGATGGCTGGTGTAAGAATAGGTAGAAGGAAAGTTAAGGGCTGACCGGACTAAAATATATCAGTTTATGAAGACACTGAATATAGAACTGAGCCATGTAGGTAGGTCAAGACTACCTGGTTGGGCTCCATGCAACTATCGTAGCCAATCACTGGTGACTTTGGGTAACATGGCTCAAAAACTTTCGCCATGGTGTAGGGCGCATTTAATCTTTGCTTTCTCTTACATCCAAAGTTTCTAAATTACCTTATAAATTTCCTTCCTGTGTTTTATTCCACTAATCAAATTTACTTCCTGGATCGTATGAGTTCCGGATAATATTGACAATCTTCTCAGGAACTCCGTAGTGTCGAAGAAGTTTCCATAAAGTCCTCCTATCTACACTGTCAAATGCCTTCTCATAATCAATGAAGTTGATGTAGAGTGACAAGTTCCACTCAATTGATTGTTCGACGATGATCCGTAGTGTCGCAATCTGGTCTGTGCACGACCGGTCCTTACGGAATCCAGCTTGTTGATCTCGAAGTTGAGCGTCAACTGCGTCTTTCATCCTGTTCAGTAACACTCTGTTGAAGACTTTACCCGGTATTGACAGTAGTGTAATGCCTCTGTAGTTTTCACACTTGCTCAGATCTCCTTTCTTTGGAATCTTGATGAGGTGTCCTTCTTTCCAATCCATCGGCACTTGTTCCTCCTCCCAAATCTTCTTGAATAGAAGATGAAGCATGCTTGTAGTTACTTCGATGTCTGACTTCAACGCTTCAGCTGGCATATTGTCAGGTCCTGCTGCTTTCCCGCTCTTGATTTGTCTGACGGCCATTCTGATTTCTTCTGTCGTTGGTGGATTGACATTTATAGGAAGATCTGTGTGTGCTGCTTCGTTGTCCGGTGGAATCATTGGAGCTGGCCCGTTCAGGAGTTCCTCGAAGTACTCTGCCCATCTGTTGCGCTGTTGTTGAATCTCAGTGATTGGTCTTCCTTCTTTGTCTTTGACTGGTCTCTCTGGTTTACTGTATTTCCCTGCAAGCTTCTTCGTCGTAACGTAAAGCTGTCTCATATTTCCTTCTCTTGCAGCTTTTTCCGCCGTCGTTGCTAGTTCTTCCACGTATTTTTGCTTATCAGCTCTAATGCTCTTCTTCACTTTCTTGTTTGCTTCTATGTACTCTGCTTGTGCTTGGACTTTCTCTGCTCTTGTTCGACTGTTGTTAATTGCTGTCTTCTTGTTCTTTCTTTCTTTGATCCTGTCCAGTGTTTCTGTAGAGATCCATTTCTTGTGATGATGCTTCTTGTGGCCCAGAACCTCTTGGCACGTTGAAGTTAATGTTTCTTTGATACCTTTCCAACTATCCTCCATAGTAGTTTCTTCTTCCTTCAGTAGATCCTGTAAGGCTTGGAACCTGTTGTTGAGAGCTACCTTGAATTCATTGAGTTTGTCAGTAACTCGAAGGAAGGCTGTATTGAACCTTTGTGGTGCTGTTTGTCCAGTTGTCCAGTTCTTCTTTAGCTTCAGTTTCAGTTTGGCCACAACCAGGTGATGATCTGAAGCTATGTCCGCTCCTCTCCTGGTTTACACATCTTCCATTGTCCTTCTGAACTTTTTATTGATGCAAATGTGATCTATCTGGTTCTCTGTGGTGTGGTCCGGTGAGATCCACGTAGCTTTGTGTATACGTTTGTGTGGAAATGTTGTACCGCCTATGACCAATTTATTGAATGCACACAGATTTGCAAATCTTTCCCCGTTTTCGTTTCTCTCTCCCAGTCCATGTAGTCCCATGATGTCTTCATATCCAGTGTTGTCCATTCCGACTTTGGCGTTTAGATCTCCCATCAGAATGGTGAGGTCCTTTCTTGGGCACTTCTCTATGATTGATTGCAGCCTCTCATAGAATTGATCTTTAACGTCGTCGTTGCTATCATTGGTGGGTGCATAACATTGGATAATGTTCATTGTGATCCCCTCCTTCTTTGTTTTGAATGATGCTTTGATGATTTTGGATCCGTGAGATTCCCATCCTACAAGTGCATTTTGTGCTACTTTGGATAGCATTAGAGCAACTTCCTGAGTGTGTGGAGCATTTTCCTCTTTGTGACCGGAGTATAGCAGCGTCTCTCCCGTATTTAGCCTTTGTTGTCCAGCTTCGGTCCAATGGGTTTCACTGATTCCCAGCACTGCCAAGTTGTATCTCCTCATTTCCGTTGCTATTTGACTGGTCTTCCCGGTCTCCCACATTGTCCGGACGTTCCATGTACCTATAAAAATTGTTGATCTGGTTGTTAGAAGGGGCATCGGCCTCGTGGCTTCCGAAGGAACTCGGCTTTCACCATGAAGCGTCATATTACCTCTAACTCCCAGGGCAGAGTTTAAATGGTTTGAGTTATTTTTTCTGGTTAGCGTTTTTTTAGCGAGTTAGGTTTCTACGGGATGG